CATTTCTTCCTATGATTGATATGGACCCCAGTGATCAATCTTGTATATTCAACTCTTCACTTTGTCGATGCATCATCAAGACGCTATGGGACATCACCCGTATTGACCTTTGATCAACCGTTATTCTGGAAAAGCGCACACAATCGTATGCAACGAACCAGCAAACAGCGATGTTGGAAAAATACTGCTACGTCTTGGTGGTTTTCACACCATGATGAGTTTCCTGGGTGCTATTGGGTATATCATGAACGGATCTGGTTTGTTTGAGCTGTTAGGGAATATCTACGCCCCAAATGCTGTATCCCACATGATGAGTGGCAAAGCTGTAACCAGAGCAGTTCGCGGACATTGTATAGTTGACACAGCACTACACGCTCTTATTATTGCCAATAAATACGGATTGGAACTTCCGAGTAATCATTCCGGTGAAAACAAGGCAATACGTGCAGCTGATACAACTGTGAACATCGACACAATTGAACCAGAAATAGAAGCGAGTACAGAGGAACTGACTGACCCAGAAGATAACTCAGGAAACAGCTATATCCATGACAACAGCTATGGGTCGTAACAACTAACACCTGGTGTTTCTGACCGTATGCCTTCAGCAGTTTCATTGTATGACCAAATTATCGACGGAGACATTTCATCTGACGAGTTACTTGTTAATGAGGAAACCCTAGACATCATCGACAAAGAGTTGACATCAAAGAAACAGTCGATGAAGCATCTTCGTTCGGCATCACTCTGGCTCCAATATACCGCGATGGTGGATATCTTAAAGAAATTCATTAAAGGAGAAAGAACGGGTGACTGGGTGCTCCATCTGCAAGCAATGCACTCGATGTTACCATACTTCGCAGCAGCAGGGCACAACATGTATACGAAGTCAGCACACATTTACCTTTCGAAGATGAAAAGACTGAAAGACGAACATCCAGATCTGTACACTCATTTCCTCTCTGGGCAACATGTTATCAGAAGAAGTGATCGGTATTGGGCTGGTTTATCAACCGACCTTGTGATTGAGCAAGTCATAATGAGGAGTATCAAGACTTCAGGTGGAATGACAAGGGGACGGGGAATGGCAGAATCACAAAGGAATCAGTGGCTACTTTTCATGCCTGCACGTGCTGACATCAACAATGCAATGCAAGAGCTGACCGCTGTTGGATTCCAAACAAGTGAGCAACATAAAGAGACAACTAGGACAAGGAAAGAAAGGGACCATAAAGACACAACTACAATTTTGTCGTTTCTAAAGGAAAGAAATCCTTTTGTAGAAGATCCATCTCTCCGTAACACCGAAAAAGGATTGACGGCTGAAGCCGGCGTGAATGTCGATCGCGCAAATGAAGTTGGTATGAAACTACTGCAATCAATGACCGATCAGCCCATCCTTGACTACACGTTTAAGCGATCAAACCAGGCGGTGACACTTGGCTCGAAAACAGCCATAAAGGTTGGTAGTGAAGCAATAGAAGTCGATCCACAGCTCCTATTTCAATGTCTAACAGCTGTTGGGAATCTACAAGGAGAAGATCTGGAAGACGTATTACGTTATGAACTGTGTTCTGTTCCCTCAGCCCTTTTGGAATCTTCCGGCTTACCAAGGGAAGCTTGCAAAGCAGCACTAGCCGACGCTGTATGGAACCTGGGAGAATGTGGATCTATAGATTACCCCACGTACAATGTCCAATATGTTCTAGATGGAGGTTCTCTCCTACAGCGCATTCCTTGGACAAAAGGTGGCATGTTTTCGTCAATTTATCAAATATACATCAATTATGTAACAAGGAAATATGGCGAGGCCGTTGTTGTATTTGATGGGAATCCGGACGGTCCGTCGACAAAGGATATTACGCATATGCGGCGTACAAGAGGAGTGGTTTCGCCAAACGTCAGTTTCACAGAGGACATGCCCTGCAAATCGAAAAAGAAATGTTTCCTGTCCAATGCTACGAATAAACAAGAGTTTATCAATCTGCTCAGTAGCAAACTTCGCGCAGGGTGATGCAAAACAGTACAGGCTATCGCGGATGCAGATGTCACAATAGTGAAGACCGCCGTCAGCTTCTCCTCGACAAACACAGTCATTCTAATTGGAGACGATACCGATCTCCTTGTGTTACTCTGTGTCCATGAGAGTTCAAGACAAAATAGGATATATTTGCAACAAACCAATGCTAAGAAAATGCGCCTTTGGTACATTCAGCAGACCCAGACAACGCTTGGCGAATACGTGTGTAAATTTCTACCATGTTTGCATGCTATCACATGATGTGACACGACATCCAGACTGTTTGGTATCGGAAAACCTGTTGCTCAAAAAAAAACCTGATGGCATCAGAATATCTAAAAGACCATATTGAAGTGTTTTTGCAGCGTACTTCAAGTCCAGATGACGTGACTAAGGCTGGAGTAGAAGTGATTATTTGGTTGTACGGAGGAATGCCCAATGAAAAACTAAATATGCTCAGGGTCAGGAAATTCACCACAAAGGTCATGACGTCAACGACACATGTGCAAGTTCACACAATACCACCCACATCAGATGCTGTCAAATTTCACAGTCTTCGCGCATGCCTGCAGTGCCAATCATGGACTAACGACGACGACAGGGATCCGACTATGTGGGGATGGTACATAGCTGGGGATAAGCTCCTTCCAACTTAGTCAGCAATGCCACCTGCGCCAGAAAGGCTACTGAAAATTATTCGATGTAACTGCAAAGTAAATTGCGAAACAAGGCGTTGTACATGTCGCAAGCATGGTTTGGACTGTTCAATAGGATGTGGTCAATGCCGAGGTGTGAGCTGCACCAATTCACCTATTAATACAGACACAGACGTCGAGGAGGAAGGCATCGATTTAATGATCTAATGACGTCATTAGTTTTTCCTATCAATGATTGACATTGCAATCAGACATCGTATTTGAATTCGGAATTGTGACGTGCTATCTTTAAAAAAAATAAGACTTGAACATACTACATTGCGACTTACAGCTATTAAAATCGACAATGGGTGTTGGTAAAAAACATAAACCATTTATGGTGTGTTTGTTCTTAAAAGAAAATGCTATACTGATCATACGAGTTGAGCGCGATATCATTGTTAAGGAGTGGTTATAGTAATAATAAAAGACCAACTATTTTAAAGTTGACAAATCACTCTGCACGTAAATGAATAACAACCACACATTACAAAAGAAAAAAGAGTTTTATTTAAGATAGCCCAATTGATTCAGATCAGGGCCTAAAGTTGATTGCTTGGTAGACGTCTGATGAACGAATCGCGAAAAGTCGATGTTTTGTTGATTTTCTTTTGGGGGTAGGGGTAAGTAATCGTAGATTGGGTTAAAATAATAGGCCAAAACATATGGTTAATGCATTTATTATTAAGTAATAAGATATTTATATGGAATAAGGTCAAAATGTTTTGCATTTAAAGTCATATGCATCAGTAAAATACGAATTAGAACGTCATGCTTGGAGTTCTCATTGTCACATTTTTTCAACCAGTCGGTGTTATAAAATATACATATTTGAGCTATTTTCGTTGTTTCTATATGCATTAATTTTTCATACGTTGTACATTATATCTAGTTAGACCAACAAATACCAAAATACTTTATTTCTAAATATGTACAATACTTCACAGATATTTGCCGTGTATATTTTTTGTTTTCACGATTTATTTAGGGGGTAGGGGTAATGAAAATCCTGATGGGATACCAATTAACAGGTAAACTGTTTGTATTATACATTGGTATCACATAACAATATTGGTCTATCTGAAATATGAAGTTTAATATGGATTATAAGTCTCAAAAACATTTATTTTGAGGTTTAGAAATTCACTGTTGGAGTTCCGATACCGTTCAATTTTAGACTGATTGTTGTTCATTATATTAAAAAATGACAAATTTCCGCAACTCCGATTTTTGCCGATTTTTTTCTATGATATTCTACATGTATTCCCAAACAAAAAAACACCAAATTAAATTCTGTTGCAATTAGTTTGATGTTGATCTTATATTTCCTGTAAAATGACTGGACTAAAAGGACAACGTCAAACAACGGCAACGAAAGAGAGGACAGCGTAAAACAATTGCAACAAAAGAGAGGACAACGTAAAACGACAACAACAGCAACAGAGGAAAGGTCAACGTATCCAAGAGATGTTTTCCAAATCACAGAAAGGTCTACCTGGTGTATTACCAGTCTATAGCAACAAAGTGAAAGCCGGCAGTCAAAACAACAAAAAAAAGTCGATGCTTTATTCAAAGCATATGATATCTTGTGAACGAAGAACACTTTGACAAAAGTGCGAAACATTGGCTCATATCAAGTTCTGGGATACCCGCTTCACGTTCCGTAAAAAGTGGGTGATAATTGACACTAGTCTCTTGTAAATATATCGAAATAGGTCCCGATAGAAAAGTATTCTTTCCATCACGTGGAGGGTAATTAATGTTGCTGTCATTTTCGGTTTGATTCACTTAAACAGGGGAGGTATCGATCATATAAAACAAATCAGCTGCGCTTGTTTCTAGAACATAAATGAGAGTAAGTAATGAAGGTAAATAAGACTTTTCGCTTGCGATGGTGGTTTTTTTGCATCGTGAACATTGAATATTGTTTAGTGTGAACGTTGTTTGAAGACGATTATAGTAATAATGAATATGTAAATATAATTAATTTGGACTCGTATGGAAAATTATATAGTATCAATGATATACAAATACTGAATACAAATTACTTCAATTTTTCAAACTTTCTGTTTTTATATGTTATATATGCATATTGAATATTGATTATGAATATATTTAAATAATGTAATATTGCTACGTCAAACGACGTAGGGGCTTTCTTGCCTTTTTCCGATTAAGGAAACGCGACCCAGATGTGGAACTTCTTTATTGAGGTATCACGAACACCAACATACTAATGTATACATACGCCCGTCAGATTTCAATAAATAATCAACAATATTAAAAACATTGTTACGACTGTTTTTATTTATTTGTTTACAAAGCATAACTAAATATAATCTGAAATGACAAACAGCAATATGTATACGCCATTCCTTCATAAATGCATATATCAACTGAAACCTTTCACAAAGGTAAGAAAAAGAAGACTCAATCACCCCCTTGGGGTGGAACGGGATAATCTCAACCATTGGGGCAACATTTTCAGTCAAATCTTCGGAAAGATTATTTTACTCTTGATGTAATATATTTAACGTAAAAACAGTAACAATATATTGTGGAGACGAGCTATTTATTAGCTTACCAGCGCTGCCTAGTTTCTTTGTGTGGCATCGAGTCTACACCCAAATAGAGGGATCTCAATTTCACAGGGTCAAAGAAAAGGACTCACCAAGACCCTTTTGGGCAAGATTGGCAATTTCAACCATCGAGGCAAGAGTCTTGAAATATCAAATTCATGGCAAGCATCGGGTATGTTTCAGTTATTCCTTTTGCAATACAATACATTGAAAACTAATAAAACAGACGTGAATCATACAAACAAGACAATATTATAGAGTAATGTGATATCGTTGCGATCTGATACACATCAAAATCGTATCCAAATGGACTGTGAACAAACATACAAGTTAATGTACATGACTCTGTTGTGTAGTATAGAACGAATCTACTTTCAAATGAAGAGTTCTCACTGTTTATCATACATGCATATGTACAACCGGTAGGTTATTTCTGTGCACAACCTTACCTTTCATCCTTTCGTTTAAATAATGACTAGCGATAGGGGTTATAATTATCTGACTAGATGTAAACGTTATGGTGACTAATAATACAGATCAAAACTAAGTCTATAACCGTTTTTAATTTTATAGCACTTGTTTTTTTTAACTCCTTTTGTCGATTAAAGTATTTTGTTTTCGTAAGTTCTTTATACTTGAGAAGGGTAACATAACTCTTTTAATGCTTCTTATAATGAAATACTGCAGGAATTCAGTGGAAACTCGTCTTTAGGTAAATGAAACATTCGCAATTGGGAATTCAACAAAAATGAGGGAATATAATTGTTGATAAAGTGTTTCGTGAAACCAAAGTCAGATGCACATTCTACATGTGTACGTAGTCAGTAACTTTATCAGAAAGTTTAAGTATAAAGTAACGATACATTTATCAATCCTGGCGTCATTTATGTCGATACCCAAACACACATGTTAGGTATCATGTTAATAATAACTCCCTAGGTAAATATTTGGCAGCTAAATCTTTAAACATGGATAAGGACGCATACCACAGTTTCTCCATCACGCCTTCTTTGAATGCGTACGCACCTAAATATTTACACGTGGTATTTCCGGTGAAGCACTTAATACCGGCTTCTTGGCTAAGTGTTAGGTTACTGCTGATAGCTATGTGTTTCACTTTTCCTATTTTATACGGAAGTAACCCATACAAGTAAACATCATCAACCCAGAAAAATGGGGTCATAAACGAGGCTCGGTAAAGTTCCCGGATGATGCCCGGCGACATTATGACGAAATAGCCATTACAGTACGTCACTGGATAGTGCGTCATATTTTTGAACTCGTCCCGGTTGACTTGCCACTTGCTTTTATCCCGAACAATAGGGCTTGTACCTTTCTCCCTAACCTGACAACCCATAAACCGGGTGTTGTTCTTGTATTTAGGAAAATATATCTCCAAGAGCAAAAAGATGTTAACGAACATATCGTCGTCAACCTTGACGATGAGGTCCGCGTTGCGGCAGTACTCACTGATCCAGCGGTAAGCTAGCACGCCCTTGTGAGTAAGGTTGTGATAAGTGTCTTGGAAGTTTCCCTGAACAATGTCGCCATGTACAACACTCTCATTCTCCAGCATAATCTCTGTGTCCTTATTGTTTGTTAATCCGAACAGAAACACTATCTTAAGTCCGTGGTTTTTAAGAATGTTTTTGTTAGCCCAAGTCTCCCGTATGGATCTACGTCGCTTGAAGTGGTCGGTGGCAGTGTGGACAATCACCAACATACCTGGCCTTTTCATGTCCTTACATATGTGAGCATTATTAATGAGATATGGAGATTGTAAAGTGATCGGATATAGCGTCTTTTTTATAGACCGCCTTCCCGTGATATTTTCACTAATGGCGGACGGGGGAGGATACCTGCTTATTGTTTTATTCATGTGTGTTCCCGACCTGTCGAATCCTTTAAAGTTACCGAAAACATCCTTCGTGCCATGTTTGGTTTGTCTAAGTTGTCTCGCGAGATTTGATGAGGCTGGGATGTTGAATATGACGTCCATACTTCCGTCAGAGTGCTGTAACACTGATTTGTAGGACGCTTCCTTCGAAACGTCATTGAAGTCAAGTGACTCCCGGGGACCATCTAGGAGACTGAAGTGAATAGTGAAGGCGAGGAGGGCAATGGTAGTCAAGATCGGTGCCAACAGGAAACGCCTTAGTCGGGCAGATAGCCGGAGGTGATTGGTCGACTTCGCCGTATCCATGGTTTGCGGCGTTATCTTATGTCAAAACCCTGTTGCGTCATTCATGCTTTTCGTTCACGTCACCTGTAAGTAGACAAAATAAAACAAAAACTGTCAATAATGCCCGTCATAATACAATGGATCATTATTAGTGAGAAATTCCAAAGCACAAATAAAATCTTAATGTATCACCGTGTTACCAATGACCTCTTGTCAGATAGGCGTACCTTTAAAGTATCAGACTGATATATATATATATATGTCTCATCCTACTAGTGCTGGAAAAGCTCACGCTGGTGACAATGTCAGTTTTGGTTTGGTTTAATTTTGTTTCACGTCCTATTATATTAACAGCAAAGGTAATTTAAGGAGTGCCTCCATGTGTAAGCGTGGAAGTGTGCATGTTTGCTGCAGACAGGGTATATGTTGGTTAGGGATTATACTTAACATCCCTAACTTTGACTTAACAACGCTCTCCTTTTAGGGATCAACAAAAATCAAAGGAAATATTTTATTCGAAAACGTGCGCAGATCACATTCTGTTAACAATATACATGTAATATGGAGCTATTTCAAAAATTGCAAGTCATTGGTGATTGGTTAAGAGACGATAAATATGTATTAAACATGGCGCCTATTTCGACATCCAAGTCGTGCCGAAACTGTCGACTTCTCTGCTCCACCACCTTTTCTGACGCCCTAGAAGTCAGTGGTGGTGCGGTCGTGCAGTTCGCAAGTCTATCTGCATCTTGTATATATATCAGGATATTTCCTGGTCTACTACAGCCAACTATGTATATTTCTATACCTCAGTCATGCGTACAATTGCTCAGACGCCTTTAACAGTTGGCCAGGCAACGTAGATCACACAGGTGAAAATTCATGAATATTACATAAATTAGGGGGTAAATATGATACTGACTATACTTGACTGGCCAATTTATTCTAACACTTTCTCTAGCGCTCTCCCAAACAGGAGAATAGAGGGCACGCGGTTAATGTCCCAATTTACAAACCAGTGCATGTACATGGTAAATATAATATTATACAAGTTTACCGTGTTCCGTATATAATGTGTTGTCCACTATAATTTACATGGCCAGGCACGTGCGCGTACATGTCTCCAATTAATTAGTCACGTTACATGGATTAAGTGTACGTCGTCGTAAATCCACACCTCTGATCAATAACGAATGACAGGTGCGCAGTTGTAAATGACGTTTCCATTCCGCTAATGACATACATAGCACAGCCATAGAGTGTTAACGGCAATATACATCATTCCTGGTGCCGAACATCGTAGTTCATCGAAAGTCTGACAGCAACGTTAGCAATAAAGCACAGGTAATATCGTTGTGCTTTTGCATAAGAAATGAGCAGGTATATCAGGTTTACATCATATACAACCAACTTTTTATATTACAAAAAAGGTACATACACAGGATGACATTAGTAAATATCAGATTCTCGCGATGAAAGTGTTACTTTATTATTCATGAGTTTACCTCTGATTTGTGAGATTGAATGTGGAGGGAATGATTTTCATAAAAAAAATGCTAATTACATATCTTACTTTGATTTGCGGTAACGCATATAATTGTACATTAAGTTGTAATGAATATGACAATTTATCATTGTGATAAAAATCTAAGCGATTACAAAATTATCGCTACAAACGATATGGAATTATTTATTTGACTTAATCCCTGAACATAACTCATTTTATAGCCCAGTGTATTGTGGGAAAAGGAGCGGAATTATTATACAACCGACTGTTACAATACTGACGGCCGTATTGGAGGTAGAGAAAGCGTCCACATAGTAATCGTTATAAGGAGTAACAAAATGCAGACATTTACTGGAAACCTTCCAGGCAGATAAGGACCATGGCGTTGGTTCGATAGATGGATGTTCTCGGTTTAACAATAACTAAGTCAGCTCCAGACATTATCTATTGTAGCTTCCTTATTAGATCAATAAAACATCTGTTTGTACAGGTAGAGAGTGTCACCTGTACCGAATCACTATGGCAACAAGCCGCCTTATCGATCGTCTAGAACCCCGGAACCGTTTCGGGAATTAGTTCCATTGACGAGTCTGGCCACTCGAATTAATCCTCATTTACACACAAATTGACCAGCAAAATTTACCGGTAATTAAAATGAACGATAAAAATAACTTGTGAATTATATGTATGGTTGTTTATTATGTTTGCTTTGTATTTTCCATGGTATGTCATATCATGTTACTATACCGTACCGATTCTAAATTGAACTGTCCATTCTCTCAGTTATACATGTGTATACAAATATGTATATTGTACTTCATTTTCCATATCTGCAACTTTATTTCCTCATGTAACACATATTATGTGTATGAGTGTCAATACAATTTTGCTTGTATACATGCATGCACCTGTCCATCCTGTTAAAATTTAATATATGAATTCATGTACATGTACCTCATGTTACACATTTCCATGTGTCTGAGTGTTGGAAATAAAATCTGAAATCTGGTAATTAAAATGAACGATAAACGTTCGCAAAATTGTGAGAAAAATTGAGTTTTCTCCTTTGACATCAAATTAAAATCAAAAACGAAAAATATAGCAGGCTTTTGACAGCTGGAAACCCATAGAAAAGTATATGTTTAACGAAGTACCCTGGATTTTTGTTGTGAGATAACCGATTTTGACATACAGACGCGGGAAAGCGTTGGTGAGAAAACAACCTACACCCGGACTCTCGTTTGAAACGATTTCTTAATTAACAAACAATGTTTCAGTGATCGATTAATGAACTAATTGGGACTAACATATTTTACATAGATATATCTATTTGAAATTACTTTATATTATATATAACTGTCAGAACGACTTCACAAAATGATTCAATGGACCATTATTAATTATACTGAAAATTTACATAATTCGTGTAGCCCAAAGACAACGAAACACACATAGAAATGTACATGTAAACATATATTACTGCTTATACATAGTCAGGAATATCAGAAATCTCCAGTGGACATACAAGTACCGTTACATCGTCTTCAATAAGATATGATTTATTCAAAGTTGGGGCTCGACTTTTCGAAATCCTATTGTAGACACGCTATAGGGAAATTGGCAACTTGAATATCTATCTGCATAAGATTAACACCTTTATGAAGAAATCGCTTAACACCTCTACGAATCATGCGCTGTTTACCTTTGTAAAGTATACAATTTATTTTATAAGTAAAGGAAGCTTGCGTTTAACACCTTTAGGAGACACACATTGTTCAATTTAAAAGGTTACACAATTTACACCTTCAGGACCACTGTCAAGGCGGGGCGAACGATCATCATGATCGGTCGAATAACCATCAAAGACACTTCTATTTTTCATTAGAATTATATATTATTAGGAACATCAACCTCAGTATTAAAGTGAATCATTTCATGCAGTGAAAACTCTTGCTTTCATTGGCAGGAAAAGTCAATTATATATGACAAAAAAGGCGGAAAATAGAACCATGGCAAGGTTTTTTTCAATGTACCAAACGAGCCGTCAAGTCGTTCTTTGTTCATACTTTGTCTCGGTCAATATCGCTTTCCCGTGTCTATAAAACCACACATTCACCTCAACAAAAGTCCATAATTAATAAATATCAATCCATCAATTGAATACATGATTCATTCCTCGTTCCCAGCGCTTTATGCATCGGCTGTACCCATCTACCGAAATTGACATCATCAATATTCAGGACACGTATTTCATTTTTTAAGAAAATAGAATTCATTTTAAAAATGTGCCAATGGCGTCGCTTTAGAACTATTGGCGAGCCAATTAAAAGGCATGACGAACCATTAAACACTTAAACACTTGTCATGATGACTAATTCGACGTAAACAGATTGGCATCAGCATAGCTTGACTTAAACATTTAAGTAGGTGTGCTGAACGAGAAACGACGTCAACATAAAATATAAAAAAACAAACAAATATAAACGGCTTTATGCTTCAGTGAGTATTGTCCAAACAAACAAAGGCTTGCTGTCACAATATTATGATCATACGACGACATTAGCAAACAAATTTGCATTGTATGCAAAATTTGTGCTATTTACGACTTTCCATCACTCATAACGGTAATAATGGCGATAGTGACAAGCGCTGTCTTCATTACGTCGGCACGCAAGCGTCTTGTGCGAATTTTTATGGACGAAAAATGACATTTGACAGCTTGTTTATATAGACACATGCACGATAAAATGGTGACCGACTCGAGGTTTGCAGCGATGTACAATGTTTCCGAATTATGTAGTATCTAACCCAAATCACATCCGGGAACTTCAGTCAGTCGGTGTTTGCGAATTGCATTGTGCGCCATCAATCATAAGTGACACAAGAAGACGTTTGTACATCTACAATGTATCTCGCACCCAGAAATCTTTCTTTATTCTCCGTGCTGGAATTTTTCATCTCGTTTGAATCATATGATACATTCACGTGACATTTTGCGCGAACTTTCACATGGCGATGTCTTCATCCGCGCGCTTAAGGAAATTAACAAACTACATTCAAAAGAATCGAGTTAATAATGACATTACTTTGCGGATTAATTCGCGATATTATACAGCGAATATAACTAGTAAGGTTTCTTCTTTCATTATATGTACGGACTACATTGTTAACGAGGAGGGATTCGAACATAGAAGCGCAGAGGATATATCAGTATGGGTCCCGAAACCTGTAAACTACGTTGAAATTGGAAATAAATAGAGAATAATACATGCCTTTTTCCCATATCACACCCAGTATCAACCCTCGGACTGATATTACAGTCTCGGGTTGATACTGGGTGTGATATGGAAAAAGGCATGTATTATTCTCTATATATCAGAGGGGGGGGGGGGGGGGGGAATAACTGTGAGATTTGTAATCTTTGTCTCAGGCTAATTATAAGATGCAGCATAACATATCAACATTGGCTTGAACCTCCTTTGGATCTTGTTACAGAATTTTAGCCTACGAACCTGGGCCCGTATCCATGAAACCATTTTCATGCTCAAGCATGGATTTTCCGCGCAAACTAACACCGCCATGACAAGGCAACGGTAATTATTTCCATGTGACTGCCCTTTTGTCCCCGGAAATATGTGTGTAAACCGTGTGAATAAAGAAACGGACTATAACGATACAATGCATCACTGCATACCTCATTTGACCTTTGCCGTCAGTGGGAACTCACAAATATGTCGGAGAACTCGACCACAGGGTACAGGTAAAACCATAGCCTTATCTACGAGTCAGATTAGGGACCCCAGTCAACAGTATTGATGAAAGCTATGGACGTGATATCACCAAGCCCAAGTACACGTGTTCATCGAGTGTTTAAAGTGGTTAATTATCGCTTTTGTATGTTATTTTATTTGTTTAATAAAGGTACATCGTTGAACAATATTAAAAATAACCAATGTCACGCAATTATGTTCACAGGGACCTGAGTATTTGTTGCAGCTACATCTGGACCTAAACTAAGGTGTTCAGAGTAATTTGACATGTTTAAGGGGTTTAGATCGACTTTCGATAAAAATGCCAACCCCAATGATTATGATATACGAGAATCATTGGGGGTTGTGGCATTTTTAGCGAAGGTCGATCTAAACTCTTGAAACATGTACTCTGAACACCTTAGTTTAGGTTCATTTATAGCTGTAACAAATTCTCAGGTCCCTGTGACTATGTTTACTAATATGAAAAAATTGTGTTTAATAAACAACTGTACACAACTCATGCACTTTGTCATTATGTCGAGGGACAATTAATCATGGCATTAGAGACTCCAAGGTCAGAAATTAGTTCGTTTGTGTCAGTGACATCAACGGCAAACCTAATGCATTAATATTTCAGTAATTTAAGTAATAATATGATAATCGGTATTAATCTCACATGTGTTTAATTATTTTTTTTACAAAAATGTACATGTTACTGATGTACCTGATTTTAGTACCCTGTACCCCGTACCCTGTACCCTGTACCCTGTATCCCCCTTACCCCGTACCCTGTACCCTGAACCGGTACCCCTGTTACTGTTACGTACGAACACGGACACTTAATTGCCACATCGTGAAACATCGGAGTGAAAATAATCTTGAGATATTCCTTTATCCGATAAGTAATGATTTCCTATGTCAGAAACTGCAGTGAAGGGATTTCCCCCAATTATAAAACACACGTGAAATCGTGATTACCCTAATTTAACGAACGTTGTGAAAGCTTGTTATCAAACAGAAAGTGGCTATGTACATTTGAATGTGAAATTTTGAATGAAGGATCGACATTGCTTTCTGTTGTAGAAGGATCAGACAGGTTATGGAGTTTTAAATGAAATACGTGTAGATATGTGCACGTGCAAGAAATAGTTGGTTAATACTAGTGGTCCGGATCACGTATGACAATCACATGTACCATATCTAAGTATGTATACAATTATATCATTATACAATTATATCATTTTAAACATTTTTTATCATGATCGTACACAAATGGATCAAACCCAATTTGTGATATTACAATGTACAAACGCCTTCTCTCAAAGTACAATATGCCCCAGTGGATAGTGCACCCGGCTTTCACCAAGGCCACATTAATACCCCTGCGCGCTAACATCCTGGTCAACAAGAGTGATTAATATAAGTTGAGATAACATGTTTCATGATTGTTGTAAAAGAAATGTTATATTTTTTTATCATGATTCATTTAAATTCAAATCATGTCATCGTTATGCAAAATGCTGTAAAACTTGAAATGAATATGAATTTAATTTGATACTTAAGGGAAATGATTCGATCTATGGCACACGCCCGACAGAGACCGGTGAGAACTAAACCAATGCTAATTACTGGTCCTATGGCACCTTACTAAATGCCTCCACCTGTTTTAGTGTTCTGTTTTGTGACGGGGCCGTGCCTCCAACAGATTACCTCTGTGGAACTCAGTTTCGATCTCATGATCCACACATGGATGGCCATCAACTGAAGTGCATCGTTCACTAGCTTTAAGCAATATGGCTCATACGCATATAGCATGTCCACGTTAAAAGGGAAGTATACAGGAGGATTTATGTCTAACAACACGACAATTACGGTAGCAATCTGAACGTAGATGCTGAGTCGAGTGTTGAAAGAAGTTTTACCAAGCTTAAATGTCAAAATTGGCTGATCTCCAGTAAACTGTTTTATTATATTTCCTTTCAGTTATACATCAAGATCAAATAAAAGTCCTCTGTCAAATCCTGAACACAAAGGCGACACCATCTCCTTCCCAACGACCTGCAATAATTGTAAAGAATACTTTCGTAAATGGCATACCATGAATAGATGAAAGACCCAGATTGTATTGAATGAGTTAGCCTGCATGCGGCGGGTTTGTGAATACTACGAGGAAAGTTACCGGCAGATAAGGCTCATACGGTAGTTTTTGGCTTCCAATATTTCCATTTCACAAATACTGGGCTTAACTCGTAATGGTGAGAGTCATATCGTATCACTGGGGTAAACTCGTACTGGTGAGGACCATATCGTATTACTGGGGTAAACTCGTACTGGTGAGGGTTATATCGTATTACTTGGGTAAACTCGAACTGGTGAGGACCATATCGTATTACTTGGGTAAACTCGTACTGGAGAGGACCATATCGTAATATTGGGGTAAACTCGTGCTGGTGAGGGTCGTATCGTATTACTTGGGTAAACTCGTACTGGTGAGGGTTATATCGTATTACTTGGGTAAACTCGAACTGGTGAGGACCATATCGTATTACTTGGGTCAACTCGTACTGGAGAGGACCATATCGTAATATTGGGGTAAACTCGTACTGGTGAGGGTTCTATCGTATTACTTGGGTCAACTCGTCCTGGAGAGGACCATATCGTATCACTGGGGTAAACTCGTACTGGAGAGGACCATATCGTATTACTGGGGTAAACTCGTACTGATGAGGGTTATATCGTATTACTTGGGTAAACTCGAACTGGTGAGGGTCGTATCGTATTACTGGGGTAAACTCGTACTGGTGAGCGTGATATCGTATCACTGGGGTAAACTCGTACTGGTGAGGACCATATCGTATCAGTGGGGTTAACTGGTGAGGGTCGTATCGTCTTACTGGGGTACACTCGTACTGGTGAGCGTTATATCGTATCACTGGGGTAAACTCGAACTGGTGGGGACCATATCGTATCAGTGGGGTTAACTGGTGAGTGTCGTGTTGTAATACTTAATGTCAACTCGTACTCGGGCGGGTCTAATCACAATGGTCAACTTGTACTACCAAGGGTAAACTCGTACTGGTGAGGGTCGTATCGAAATACTTGGGTAAACTCGAACTGGTGAGGACCATATCGTATCACGTGGGTTAACTCGTACTGGTGAGGATCATATCGTATATCTGGGGTCAACTCATACTGGTGAGGACCATATCGTATTACTGGGGTAAACTCGTACTGGTGAGGACCATATCGTAATATAGGGGTAAACTCGTACTGGTGAGGACCATATCGTATAACTCGGGTAAACTCGTACTGGTGAGAACCATATCGTATTACTAGGGTAAACTCGAACTGGTGAGGACCATATCGTATTACTGGGGTTAACTCGTACTGGTGAGGACCATATCGTAATACTGGGGTAAACTCGAACTGGTAAGGACCATATCGTATCAGTGGGGTTAACTGGTGAGGGTCGTGTTGTAATACTTAATGTCAACTCGTACTAGTGAGGGTCTAATCACAATGGTCAACTTGTACTACCAAGGGTAAACTCGTACTGGTGAGGGTCGTATCGTATTACTGGGATAAACTCGTACTGGTGAGGGTCGTATCGAATTACTTGGGTTGAGGACCATATCGTGTTACTGTGGTAAACTCGAACTAGTGAGGACCATATCGTATCAGTGGGGTTAACTGGTGAGGGTCGTGTTGTACTACTTAATCACAATGGTCAAAATGTACTACCATGGGTAAACTCGTTCTGGTGAGGGTCGTATCGAATTACTGGGATAAACTCGTACTGGTGAGGGTCGTATCGAATTACTGGGGTAAACTCGTACTGGTGAGGACCATATCGTATTACTGGGGTAAACTCGTACTGGTGAGGGTCGTATCGTATTACTGGGGTAAACTCGTACTGGTGAGGACCATATCGTATCAATGGGGTTAACTGGTGAGGGTCGTGTTCTACTAGTGAATGTCAACTCCTACTGGTGAGGGCCATATCGTATTACTGGGGTAAACTCGAACTGGTGAGGACCATATCGTATCAGTGGGGTTAACTGGTGAGGGTCGTGTTGTACTACTTAATGTCAACTCGTGAGGGTCTAATCACAATGGTCAACTTGTACTACCAGGGGTAAACTCGTACTGGTGAGGGTCGTATCGTATTACTGGGGTAAACTCGTACTGGTGAGGGTCGTATCGAACTACTGGGGTAAACTCGTACTGGTGAGGGTCGTATCGTATTACTGGGGTAAACTCGTACTGGTGAGGACCATATCGAACTACTGGGGTAAACTCGTACTGGTGAGGGTCGTATCGAATTACTTGGGTAAACTCGTACTGGTGAGCGTCATTTCGTAATACTGGGGTAAACCCGTACTGGTGAGGGTCATAATTTGACGTGCTAAGTAAAAAGACTGCCTTCAGTTTTTATTGTTACTTGAAAACAATACTTAGGTTTGGTTAAAATGCAGATTGAATTTAGATGTTCCGTCTGGCGGGCCTTCGGACCTTCGAACTAGTGAGCCCTCTTGGTTCGGGCGATGATAATGAAAACAAGGGTTATGTGCTTGAGCAAAATATATTCGGTTTTGCCACTTCCTTCTCTGTTGGACTACGTCCGTCATGTGTACGTCATGTGTGACACAAAAAAAAACAATTTTAAGGTTCATGATAAATTTTATCATTTTACTAATATTTACAAAGTATTGAAACAAAAGACGAAGTTTTATTTCGTCCTGCAGAAATACATCAAATTTACAGTTTTGTTTTAAAATAGTTTAAAAAAAACGAACACAATACGGATATTTCATGCTAGACATGGGGACTAAAAATCATAATTTCATTGCAACCATATTGTACAAAAAATAACCAACAAGAGTACATTTATGAATCAATTTTTATTTAAAAATAGAACTGTTTTTTTTTTATCTAATCCGTCAGTTAGTGAAACGTATTAGGTGGCCACAAACAATAATCTTACAATCATACATCAGTTCAAGGTCAATAGGAGTGTACCGTAGCGTAGAACCCCATTGGTTAGTACAGAAAGCCTAAGATCGAACACGAGACGGCATTGGATAGAACACAAAATTACACTATACACGTTATAGTCCGTCAAGTATTTGACCTCATTGGGATAGACACAAGCGTTAATCGTCAATAATTGGATCCTAGGTAAAGGCATACAGTTTAACGTCAAATATAGGACACCATTGGATAGTAGAGAAAGTTAATAACTTTTCCGATATTGAACCCCATTGGTTAGAACAGGACAATAGACGTCAATTATTGGACCCTATGGTTTAAACCAGGACAATAGATGTCAAATGGTGGTCCCAATTGGTTAAACCAGGGCAATAGACGTCAAAAATTGGACCCCATTGGTTAGAACAGGACAATAGACGTCAAATATTGAACCCCATTGGTTAGACCTGGGCAAAAGATGTCAAATATTGGACCAAATTGGTTAAACCAGGGCAATAGACGTCAAAAATTGGACCCCATTGGTTAGAACAGGACAATAGACGTCAAATATTGAACCCCATTGGTGAGACAAGGGCAATAGACGTCAACTATTGAACCCCATTGGTAAGACCTGGGCAAAAGATGTCAAATATTGGACCAAATTGGTTAAACCAGGGCAATAGACGTCAAATGTTGGTCCCCATTGGTTAGACAAGGGGAATAGACGTCAAATATTGAACCCCATTGGTTAGACCTGGGCAAAAGATGTCAAATATTGGACCCCATTGGTTAAACCAGGGCAATAGACGTCAAATATTGATCCCCATTGGTTACACCAGGGCAATAGACGTCAAATGTTGGTCCCCATTGGTTAGACAAGGGGAATAGACGTCAAATATTGAACCCCATTGGTTAGACCTTGGCAAAGGATGTCAAATATTGGACCAAATTGGTTAAACCAGGGCAATAGACGTCAAATATTGAACCCCATTGGTTAGACCAGGGCAATAGACGTCAAATATTGGACACCATTGGTAAGACAAGGGCAATAGACGCCATACATTGAACCCCATTGGTTAGACATGGGCAAAAGATGTCAAATAGTGGACCCAATTGGTTAAACCAGGGCAATAGACGTCAAAAATTGGACCCCATTGGTTAGAACAGGACAATAGACGTCAAATATTGAACCCCATTTGTTAAACCAGGACAATAGACGTCAAATGTTGGTCCCCATTGGTTAGACAAGGGCAATAGACGTCAAATATTGAACCCCATTGGTTAGACAAGGGCAATATACGTCAACTATTGAACCCCATTGGTAAGACCTGGGCAAAAGATGTCAAATATTGGACCAAATTGGTTAAACCAGGGCAATAGACTTCAAATATTGAACCCCATTGGTGAAACCAGGGCAATAGACGTCAAATGTTGGTCCCAATTGGTTAGACAAGGCCAATAGACGTCAGATATTGAACCCCATTGGTAAGACCTGGGCAAAAGATGTCAAATATTGGACCCAATTGGTTAAACCAGGGCAATAGACGTCAAATATTGAACCCCATTTGTTAAACCAGGGCAATAGACGTCAAATGTTGGTCCCAATTGGTTAGACAAGGCCAATAGACGTCAGATATTGAACCCCATTGATTAGACCTGGGCAAAAGATGTCAAATATTGGACCCAATTGGTTAGACAAGGGCAATAGACGTCAAATATTGGACCTCATTGGTTAGTCCAGGGCAATAGACGTCAAATTTTGGTCACAATTGGTTAGACAAGGGCAATAGACGTCAAATATTGGACCAATATCATTTGATCAATATTATTTATTGCACCCAAAATTTGAATTAAATTTTATAAGTTATTTCTTTGAAGGAAAATTGAATTTCTTCTTTTCTTGCCGAATAATATTCGGAAAAGATGAGTGAATTTATGGGAAATAGTCCGTCCGTTAGCAATAATATCAGGTATCCGATAATCCTTGTTGTAAATGTTACACACACAGTAAGAACAATACAAAAACCCACATATAGACAGGACATAACCTTATACCTTCATTAGGCCACACACCCTCCAACAAACAAACCATTATCTTACGATCTACGTACCATTCGATATTCGGTTGTATTGTTTGGACAACTTCTTTCCAATTACAAAGGTCAACATGATTTTCCTCAGTTAAAGTTTACATAGCATTAGTAATTGTTTGCATAGACCTAAGTAATCAGAAGTCGTTTACAAGTAACAACGTTTGGGGAGCGTTTACAACCAAAATGCACAAACGACTTGTTCACGACTTAATGTTGACACAGATCTTAAACTTGTTTGCGGCTTTAAGTCATCGCAAATACTTATCGTTCCATCATGTATACGTTTATTGTGGGTAATATTCAATACAAATAGCTTATCAAAAAATATTATAATTGGCAGTTTAGATAATAAAGTACATGTATAGTATCTTTAGGTACAGTCGGGTGTTCAGTGTAACGCGAGACAAAGTAATGGGTTTGTCCAGGGATGTGTCCCATCCCTGGTTTGTCCCACAATTCAATTTCAATTGATTCCGTAAAAACTCCTCGGAAATTTATAATTTGTCGCTTGCGTCCAATTTTTAAATAAGTTACGTTGGTCATGTGATGAAATGCAGTTAACAAGTTTAGTAAATAGCACCATTTTTATTTTCGTCCATTCTAAATGAACTTTAAAGATAATCTCCCACGCCCACCGCGCTATTCAGATGAGACAGTATTACTTTCTAGTTGATAATGGATAATATGAGTACACATATTGGTATTTCAAATTTTAATACATACAGCGTTCACCTTAAATGCAAATGACTCTAACTATCGGCATTAAATATGTGTTTTTTTCACTTTCGCCATGCCGTTGCTGAGAAATTGCTTAACACCCTCCTCTCTCTCCGCGGACTGTCAATGGAATCACGCTCTGAAGTTGCTCTATGCCATTGAACTATATCATGTTATCTATTTAGTTTTATTGAATTTCATCTGCCAGTATGTGTCATTGATAAAAAGTAAAAGAGATCATATTCTCGGGTAGGAACCTTAAAACTAACAGTATTGAAATATATTTGTTAAGGTTCAACCCCGTTTAAACGGCAAAATTATTTGTATTCCATCCTTATTTTAAACTATCAGAGTGAATAATTTGACGCATCATTATATCAATTCGTCGTTTAAACACACTTACACATACTTGGAAGTTTATCTAACACAAACACCTATGCTGAAGTGATCACGATTGACGATTAAGCGTGTCACGTGACTTATCACCCCATGATGTCACTTCTAGACTTCTGGACCACAGACACGTTTGCATGCGTCTTTGACCATTTTGTAAGTTTTGAGAGCGTTGCCCGCCAGAACTTTTCAAGGACTCCGTCTTCCCATGCATTGCACGCCACGTGTTCTATAGCACCGTTACCTACGTATTCCTCCAGAGCTGATTTCTGGTTCAGAGTCATGTTATCTTGAATGTCAAAAAATGTTACATCCTTAATTGTTTCCATTAATAAACCGAAAAGATACGCGTCGTCCACAGAAAAGTACGGCTTTGAAAACGATGCTTTGTATAATTGCGGGACCAGATCAGCCGTGAATAGTGTAGCATACCCGCTACAAAACCGTGGGAAGCGCTTCCGTCCCGGAAAAACATGGGCTGGCACGTACCACTTACTGCGTGTGTCCCGTTCGATAGGGCTCGTGTCATTTTCCTTGGCGTGGCACATCACTACTTTCTTTTTGTCATGAATTTGCGAGATTAAATATTCAATAGTAGCAAATATATTCACAAACATGTCGTCGTCCGCCTTAAGAATGTATTTAGCTTGTATGCAGTTCTCATTTATCCATTTCATGGCAAGAATACTTTTCATTGTGAGATTAGCGATACTGTCTATGAAATCGCCTTGTATTATGTCGTGGTAGAGCAAGTTTTCGTTGTTTATTTTCACTTGATCTTCTTTTGCAGTAGACCGTCCCAACACAAATATAGCTCTTATATGTATATCTTTGAACGTCTTTGAACTTGCCCATGTCTCTCGCAAGACTGACCGACGTTGAAAATGATCCCAACGAGTTTGGAAATAGATTAATATATCAACTGGATCGGTGTTACAAACATCTTTGTTATTTATTACTTCCGTTTCCGGTAACACCGGATGTTTGCCTTGAGCACTGTATTTGACCACGTTGCGTTCACTGAACCATTGGTGAAAAGGATCTATGTAAGGGTCGGGACGGTTCTCTACCACATTTGGAATACTCGGTGTCGTAGGTACTGGATTCATATTATTATCTTGCTTGTTTTCCATTGCCATTCGGAAACTATTTTTTGCTTCATTCAATACGCCATGCTTACGTGCAGACGATGCTCTGGTTCTTTTGTATAGCTTTGATGACGATATTGACGTCAACAAAGTAAATACACATGCCAACACAACAAACGTTGCGAAAACGTTTTCGCACAATTTTAGAATTTTCCCTTTTGGACAACCCATATTTACTAATATATCTCTCTACAACAACATCACGTGATTTTCTTTGCCTGTTGACGTCACTGGTTTACTGACGCCATCAACTGACTAGAAGTCAAGCTAAGCACGCACGAGAGGTAGAGTTGTGTCGTGTTCGCTCTCGACATCACACAGTCTTTTTTCAAATTAATCCCGTCACAGTATCACAGTGTTTTTGTTCCTGTAAACCTCAGGTACAGTGGTTTAGTACCGGTAAACCTCCCGTCACAGTATCACAGTGTTTATTTTCCTGTAAACCTCCGGTACAGCGGTTTAGTACCGGTAAACCTCCGGCACAGTGGTTTAGTACCGGTAATCCTCCGGTACAGTGGTTTAGTACCGGTAAACCTCCCGTCACAGTATCGGTGGTTTCGTACCGGTAAACCTCCCGCGGTAGACCTTCCGTCACAGGTCCCACGTCACAGCCAGCTAGTCACAGTTAAGCTTGACTGGGGGGTACCTGCAACAGCGGAAGGTAGAACGTCTTAGAGGTCTTAATAGAAAAAGCAACCTCTCGCGAGATGACAAATACACAATATTTGACTACTTATACCATTGAAAATATGCTAACTCAAATACAGGCTGTCAACGTAAGAGTAATGGCTAATCAAGTATAATCTGAATATTTTGTTTAAGAAAATCTTTTTTTTAATAAAATTATTGTCATCGATATACGTGTGTCAATTATGACATCAACCTGTTGTAATGAAGAAATAGCAATCATGATACAAATGTACCTGTCGGTAACACTGATAGTAACGTCGGTGACATGACACCACGTCTACAACGGTAAACTCATTCACCCCGGAAATTCCATAATGAACTAGGTCAACCTTTGAATTGGAAGAGTTCAAATGTATATTCAGGGGAGAATGAGTTAAAGAAATGTTAGTGACGAGTTAACTTCAGAATTAGGGGCACGTTCTTATATTTACCGACATCTTCAGACACAATACCAGGCTTCAAGCGACATACGTGATACCCAATTGGTTATTACGTATTTGTTAGGGGAGAAACTCCATATATGGTATTCAAATTGGACATTTGGGAGATTTGAAAAAATAGTCATCGATTAAGTACAGAACCATCATTTTAGTTAGGCAGTTGTCATTGTTATAATTAATTATGGCCGAGACATCCTCAATATACACAAAACAGTCATAATTGTTTCATTCACTGAGTTGTCATAATCGATAGAGTGACCGTACAGTGAGTAGGTGCATGGGGAGACGAACGAGGAGCCGGTTCATACTGTATTCACCATAAACAAGCAACTGCGCAAGCGCATACAGGGCTCGACTAATACATTTGGTAAGAGCCGGAAAAGCGGTTATGATTATCCGGAATTATAGATGGTTACTTGTAAAATCACCAAAGCTTCACTTGACAAACTCATTTTGTTTCCCTAAGTAGCCTGCCACTTCACCAAATATGTACCTCCAGTTATTTATGTTCGGAAGCGTTTGCAGTTAATTAGGTTACTCGACACATCGTCATCAGCGTCCATTTTCATGACGTACTTCAGAAAAAGGCGCAGCGGACAGAATTATTCTGAGCGAAATGTGCCCATACACCGTAAAAAGTAACTCTCCAACTTTGAAAAATACAAAAACATTTTTCGCCAATGGTTTCGAACGACTGAATAAACATGCAGCCTCAAATAAGTTGAGAACATTTTATTTCAAAGAATTAGCATTTTCCATGGTTTTTGGAAGAAACAAAATGCACTTGCCGGATGCTATATTAAGGTCTAGAAAGTCTAGGTAAGCATAGGAATCATAATAATAAGATTTCAATGCTTTTTGTCCATCTTTTCGTGGTGTGTTGAGCCAACTTAATTCATTCACTAAATAAAAGGTTTTTATAGTACGGCCTGTTCTGATCTCTAGCCCTTCATTATTCTGCTTGAGTTATAAATAGTAAAATGAGGCGCTCGCCGGAGAAAATACACAGGTAGACTGTCACGATTTTGTAACCTATATTTCAATTGTATTTCGTGTATTGATCACATACATAAATTTACATACATACATTTCCATAAGGAAACAATGCACGTCTCGGTGTTATTAAAGCCACAGTAGAACGTCTATGTAGAAGACCCTTGCCCCGTCACATCATGTTACAATATTGCCGTGACACGATGATGGAGTGTCTGACACAGTAGTATGGTACTTTAACTTGACAGCCGAGCGCGTGCTGCTATTGTTTACCGACTTTCCCAAACCTAATATATATATACAGCTATGTCGCGAACGGCCTCGGGTGCTATTATTAAATTTGCAAATTTTCGGCTAAAATGCACGTGCTGTTGCAGTAACAGCTGAAACAGATTGTCAACATGTTGACAACAAGTGTAGGTGAAGTGCAAACATTCCAAACATATCAACGTGAACAATTACTTTCGTCCGGTAAATATCTCATCATGTCTGAATGTCTAAAAGCCTTCAGTAACATCTTGTCACGCTGTTCCTCATAATTATATATATAATACAATAGGTGAAGTGCAACCTAAACTTGTCCACACTGTTGGAATTAATTCTTTGCCCCATATGCTATTTTAAGTAATTCGTATCCTACGGACATACCTCCATTAGGATCCAGTGTTATATGGGATTTTACCTTCTATATTACTTCTTTGACCCATATATGGATATATAATACAGGATGTACTATAAATAGGAAATGAACGCAAACAGAACAACATATATGTACGAAACAGATAGCAGATACTTAAAGTTATTAAAATTCGTTTATCAGTTGAGGAATTAAATGAACGTGAAATGCTGTTCTGTGCTGTCTCAGCACAAATATAGTTTACGCGGGGCACATGTATACTTTTTATTTAAATTAGAATCTGATTCGGGTCAAAGCAACATTGTTTTTTTCGCTTCCACTTAACACCAAATGGAGAAAACGGTTCGCGTGCTCTTGGTTGTGATGTCATTACCTTTGTAATATCAAAAAACATGTTGTTCAAGTTCAAGTTCTTTATTAACTTCAAGTCTTGCGACTTATCAGTGTAAACATATAATAAACAGGATATTCACATATGTACAAAAAGCCACATTGGTCACAGGAGAATGAACAATACACACATACAAACTGTCATAAATCTGATCGGCGCTTATTTGCCGCTATCAGATACTTTCCGAGATTACATAATTCTTTAATATTCTGTGTATTAAGTAATTGAACAAGCTAATATAAACTAGGGTTATTTCTAAAGTAACATTTTAAATACCTCCGTCTTAAATCTGTATATCTTGTGCAAACTAAAACAAAACGAAACTCGTCTTCTATGTCATTAAGTTTACACTTTGTACATAATCTATTAGTTCTAACAGTGCCAACATAACGTCCAGATTCAATGTTTAATTTGTGAGCTGACAGCCTAAGTTGAGCTCTCTTGACCGTTCCCTAAGTGCACATCCCTGGTATGGCCGATCTATTTGTTGAAATAATTGACAATCATTCGATTCAGAGGTATTTACGAAGATAATAAAAAGAACGGTCTAAGGACTTTAATTCAAATTTTTCTGGACACAGTCTACTGTTTTAAAACAGTCAATATGTGTAATGCGTCTTTGTGTATATATATAAAAAAAAACGTATATTGATTTGGAATAGAATAACATTTTTTTCGTGACTTTTGCCCCAGGTCGTATATGAAATAAAAGTCATAAATGTTTAGACAAGACACCGGAAATACCAGGTGCTTTACCTTAAACCCGATGTCTGTCACCTACACTGCACGTTTCCGTTGACATATCAAGCCACGGAGATATCTGTACAGGTTTCCGTGACCATAGGGGCCCGATAATCAATTATAAAATGTATGTTTGGGCCTCCCTCGATTGTTTACTTGGTTCAGGGATTAAACACTTGGTTGATCGGCAAAGCCATCTGAATGTTTCAAGGCTGTGCACGTCTTTCGGCCATTTTCGCATATTAATTAGGTCGACATCAAGAACAGAGGTTTTCCGGCATATACCATTTGTATCTTAATTCTAATAACTATCCAGGCACAACAGGATAGGTTAAATATACGTTCTGTAATCGATTCTCATGTCCCTGTGTCCCTGGTTCAAAATTTAACTTGTTATCACGTTACATTTTCGTGATTTTTTGCCACTTTTGAAATAAACATTCCTGGTCTATTAAAATCACGTTGTGCAGGTAATAAAACAATCAGATGTGTAACTTGTGCCAACAACGCCTTTTGTTGTATCAGTGTAATACAATATGTTTTACCCTAATCCCATTGTAGGTCATTTAAATACACCACATACGGCCGATTCAGGCGCCATACAAATATTTTGAGGATGCCTTTTTAAGTTAGCTGAAATTCTTATTACAATATCATTAAATGCTCGGATGTTTTATAAAAAATAGTCCAACCCTTAGGCATACCATTGAACCAAATTATTTGGGCTAGACTGCAAGAGCGCAATGAATTATGGGGACTGCACTGCGTACCTTTGGACATTGTCCACACCCTTGTAGCTAGTCCGCTTATATAGGATAGGACAAACAAAGCCTAAACAATGGACAATAAATTAGGAATTTTTGAATGTTTCACAGACCAACTGGTGTTTCCGTTGAAACAAAGTCGGTTAAGTTTCGACTGTGAAACATGGAGGATACTAGCAGTGACAATGACATTTTGCTCATACAATTTCAACCAACACTAACTTTGACCTAAAAAGTGATATATTTTCTGACATTTCAAGTGTTAGTGAATCAACAGAACAATTTGTAACGGCAGCACAGGAAGCTGAACAAGATTTTATGAAGAAAGGAAATATTAATCCCAAATTTTTGAAATGATAAAATTGAAAGCGTTCTGAAGGATACTGCATCCCAAATATACCATTGAACAAAACTGATTGAACAGCCCAACATTTGAGGCATGGAAACCCGATAGTCGCAAAAAAGAAGAAAATGTGGAAAAGTGCAAGGGAAGCTTTTTCCTATGTCTGATAAAGATCTTGAAGCCAGTTTAGGGAGAATTATAACAGAGATACACAAGAAGAATGGATAAGAGTATCGAGAGAATACCATGTATAAAACTATTGCTGGTATTAAGTATCGTCCAAAACTTACATGTTAATAATACAAAAACAAGAATTGTGAATTTCTTGACAGATTACTGGATACAGTGCTAACTTGTTTTTTTCAATTCAGACATTGATTCAAATCAAAAAGCAAAACTGTTTCTTTTATATGTCTTGTTTTTCAAAATTTTACTCCCATGTTTAGAAAATGCTTGTATTGTCACCTTCTACTGTAAAATAGTTCATGGTTTTACTGTGGAATAGTTACAATTATTACCCGACTCTCCCTATGAAAAGTAATCAAACAAGTTTGACTATATTCATAGTGAAAATACCGTTATTCATATACAGACATGAATTAGTCAAAACTATTTTCATGTGGAGTTCTCGAACTAACACACGTTTC